TGTCTGTCTGTGTATATTGGTGGGATGCCACTATCATTGGATGCCGCTATCGTGAGTACGTTGCTAGGCAACCTGCGCTCTGATTGGCTCAAATTTCGGAGAGACATATATTTGTTAGCGCCTTAGCCGACATAGAGGCATATAAGATTAGTTGGAGGTTCGTTGAGGTGAGGAGCATGTGTCTGTGTATGTCATATATATATATGCGTATGTATGTATGTGTGTATGTCTACCTGTTGGCTTACTGATTACCACCTAAATTTCCTATATACAAAATGTTATTAGTTTAATTATAATTACATCAGTTTGATTACAATGGTGCTTGTCTTGTTCGCATACTGTTTTAGTTGTTTAGCTATATTTTAGATATAACTCTTTTAAATTATTATTAAATACCACTCATCTTTGGCTTAAAATCATTTTATACTGGAATGACCTGAAATCACTTTATTGTATGCATGATCTAAAACTATCTCAGGTTAATATAACCTGAAATTATTTCATCTATTTAATGCTATATATCTTATTGAAAGGAATTGTATATATGTTATCTGTTTCATTGCTTTGTAAGTAATTGCATTGATACTGTAATAAGAATGAATGCGTCTCATACAATACTCTGACTGCGTGTGTAATATGGTGATCGTTTGCGGGTGTAGTTGGTTTAATCATAGACACGTTCACACATTCTTCAATTCTCAGAAATGTATCGTTCAGTGAGAGATTATTTGACGGGTTAGAGTTAGCGAGCGATTATTGCATGTCGACTATTGCATTGCATGTTTTAGGCGGGAAGGCGGGAGAATTCATTTCGTTTGTTAACTTTTTATAGCAAGTTCTAGAATAAGTTGAGTAATTAAGAAATGTAATGAATTATGAAAAAAACTGAGGTGTGTAGGATGCACCGTATTAGGTAAAAAAGTAGATGGTTCTTTTATATTTACGTATTTGTAACTTAGATTGTTTGTGTAGCCGTTGGAATCTTCGATTTATTTTTCACTTCGAATTTTCAGGTCTCCGTAATTTATTTTGCGGCACGTTTGAACTGATAATTTTGGTAGTGCGGAAGGTAGCAAGAAATGACCGACAGGAAAGCAGTGATCAAAAATGCTGATATGTCAGAAGACATGCAGCAAGATGCTATCGATTGTGCAACACAGGCTTTAGAGAAGTTTGTTCATTTTCTTTCTCTACTTTTAGTGTTAATTTACTTATTTCGGTTCTTTAGTTTGGCTGAAATCCTTATAGTAGTTTAGATTTAATTCACTTTAATTTTCACACTTTTCTCCATGAAGAATCTTTCGGAAGTAACAATTTTGAAATGTTTGTCTTTTTCGTGACTGGATGCTGTCCTTTTGCAGTGGCACAAAAAAACTCAGTAACTCATCCGTCTAATTAAATTTAGAAACTTTTGAATGCTCTTCTCAGTGGTATGAGACGAGCAGTGGAGCGTCCCTTAACGTACACTGCGCTATTGAAATGTGATATGAAGCATAACCTTACCTTAAAATAATTTTCACGAAATACTAGTTCTTACCGGTAGTGTTGGGTGTGCACAAAATACCGTTTTAAAGATTTTGTTTTACTTTGTATTATATTATGTATTTGTTTCATATCGTAATCTTTTCTTCCAGTTTATAGTAATCTTTCAGATACAATATCGAAAAGGATATAGCAGCGTATATAAAAAAAGAATTTGACAAGAAGTACAACCCGACATGGCACTGCATCGTTGGACGAAACTTCGGGTCGTATGTCACGCACGAAACAAAGCACTTCATTTACTTTTATTTGGGCCAAGTAGCAATACTTCTATTTAAGAGTGGATAACTCTCTTCTTTGGTCTGTTCCCTCTTTTTTCTCATTCTTCCAAATGTTACAATTTTGTATTATTTAAACTAGTTTTCATTTGGTCTTCTGTACATTGCTGATATTATTGACAATGGCGATAATGAAATGGGCCGAAATATACCGTCTTCGTGATCTTTTTTTTTCGAAGAAATGCGGAAGTTGTATTTCGAATCTCTTTTTGCGAATCTCGAATACTTATCAGGAATTTTCCGGATATTAGTTTTCTACATTTCTTGTTACTTTGAATCATTAAAAAGGGGCAAAAACAGTTGCAGAAAGTCACGCTGAATATTTAGGATTGGTGCCTTATTTATTTTCTTTGGATATATGCGCGCGAACACATGCACACACAAGAAAGAATCTCATTACGTGTGATTTATGATTTGTTTTTTCCATTCGCATTATAAAATACCCTTTGAATGTTCTCCACTAAACAGGAAGATACAAAGCAGCATTTCCGGCTTCCCATTTGCAAAGTATGCAGATAATGCGCAGGATTATTGCAGCATTCTTCAATCTGAATGCGTAAAATTCGAACAGCGCGGACGACATTAGTGGGCTTTTCAGATCCCGTACTCATGAAATACATTTTATTGCAGTATTTGATCATTTGGAAAATTGTATAAGATATTACCAATTTGAGTATTCGTCCACATTCACTTCTATGTGTTGCTGAAATCTTTATCGCTTCATCCTATAGTTCTTCAGGTTTTGTTGCAGTAATACGTTACTAGCACCCTGAGCTCTGCTGTTATTTCGAACTAGCGCATCAGTTTTTTTTACACATCACAGTGATATTAAATTACTTTATAAATCCTTATTTGTACTGTCGGCATTTCTAGATATTCACCGAAAAGTTTTCAACATGAGTATGGGTTGTGTTCAGATATATGCAAAATCTTAATTTTCGAAAATTTCTGAACCAACCAACCCAATTACCTTTTCAAATTTAAAGAAATAAAAACAAAAGGAATAGTGCTTATCTTCTACATTGAAAGGAATTAATGTAAGATGAAAAATGACGAACTTTTCGATGTCGAGGTAGCTGTAGCCACATGGTGGGAAGATACATTAAACTAATAATGTTATTAAAATTATCTGGAAACATTTGGTCAAAATATTTTTGTCCTACAGCTAATTAACTATCAAATCTCACGTTGTATCGGATGGAATTTTTGAAAAGTAAAATCCTACTGATAGTCATTTCGGCCGAATGTTCCTCACAATTCTCGTCAGTTTAAAGCTATACCATAACCGGTATTATTTAATGGTTAGGATGTTTAAGTTGCATAATAATTACGAATTAATCAAATATGTTAGCTCCTATCTGAAATCAGAGGTCATTTTCCTAGAAAGTTAAATTTACATTTACGTTGATAGAGCAGTAACAACATCTCAGAAGAAATAAGTTAACACTTCTCGTTACTGTTCAAATATTGTGTTAATATTTATCTCTAATTTTTTAAGCACTAAGAACTATCAACGCATGGATCAAATGATTGGTCAACTATAAGAGTAATTAGTTGTCCAAAATTAGGCCAGTCGCAGCCAATGATTTCATTAATGACAAGATCCATTATCAGGTGAAGATGAATAGCATAGCACTTATGTGATACATTAGCACTTAGATATCATATTTGGTACCTCTGCTGAAGAATGTAGAACATGTTGTTTTGATATTACAACTAATTTTGTTCTACCGGTTTCCTCGACTTTCTTTTTGTTCCGTAAATTTGAATTTTTCGAAACTTGAAGATATTATAATCCTTGAAATCTTGAAGTTAAAATTCCTACATTAGAATCTAAAATGGTGATGTTATGCCCCAAAATTCCACGTGAATAGAAATTTGAAAGTTAGTATTACATGAATAACAAAAAAAGTACCATATATGAATAGGAATTAATGTTAGGTTAATAGCAAACAAGTTTATATATAGTACGTGGCAATGAAAGAGTAACATAATACGATAGTAATAAAAAAAGGTATATATTGGAGAATGATAAGACGTGTAATGAGTTTTCGCTTACCACGTATTCACGCATTACACGACTTCCCCACCACATATATTACATAACTTTTTAATTATTACATTTATATAACATAATCATACATTCACAAGAAAGATTATATGTTATATGAATGAGAAAAACTCATTAAAATTACATAATATTTGGAGATTTCAGAAAATTTGAATAACTTTTTTTTCCAAAGATTTAAGAGATGCGAAAACAAAGTAAAAATGATAAAGTGATGTAAATATAGGAGGAAATATGTTCGCCAAGAGCTATTCATACAAATACAAACACTCACATGATGCATAAAATATCACAGCCAACCATATCGAAGTGATATAGGGCTGGTATAATTTTGTGCATCTTGAATAGATTATTTTGATTTGGCAAGTTGACAAATATTCGTCATTATGATCACACTTTTTGGGTTATTTTTGGGTTTGAAGGTTGCGATTTCCTCTCTGCGGGGAATGTTTTTGATTTATGTCACTTTGATGAAATATTTTAGGACCAATGCATTATTCAGATACTCTCCGGTTTAACATCCGCCGATAACACCTTTTAGGCATGGCCTGAATATACGGTAGTCACATAACGCTTCATCATTTACTGTAACTTATCGATCTGTTAGTTAGGATGTTCGTAGCTATACATCTATTGCATATTGTTTTAGGTAAATCAGAAAAAGATTTTATGAAGTTTGCCTTAAAATTTTGAATAATGTTGATTTTAGATCAATCTATATTCAGATAACAAATATTGCTCTTATCTTTCTCATTTCTTGTCTTTTTTCCACAACGTCTGCTTACGTTACAGTTAAGGATAGATCAAACAATAAAGTTCCAAGAAACATCAATATATATATATTAATGTCATGTTATTTTCTAGAGCACTATACAGCACGAAATGACCGAACAGTTTTACTAAGATATGCGTGGATATTAAGTTGTTTCTAACAAATCTGTAGCATTTTTGTTAGACTTAGTGCCAAATGGGAATGGTAGTTACAATTTGAAATGTAGAATCTAACTTTAAAGTAAAGGATTCTCGCTTTATATTACCTTTCTTCAGCATCGTTTCTCACATATTCGAGTTTGTTTTTATATTATATCAGCAGTTTGCTAAAGGAGATTGAAATGACGAATAGTACGATGGCAACAGCATTACATCCATTAGTCCAATGGGCTCAACGTGATAAACTGCTTTACTTGACTATTGAAATTGATAATGTGGCGGATCTCCAAATCACCGAAAAATCTCTTCACGTCAAGTAGGTTTTTTTTCATTTCACTACTAAATAATGGATGAGGTGATGATTTAGTGAGTGGCATGTTGGTGTAATGGATGTAAAGTAATAGCATTATTTCTCTTTCAGTTATCGCGTGCTATTGCTTCCTAGATTAGACGCTTCATTGTTTGGTGAGGTTGTCCCCCAGCTTTTTGCGTGAATAGTTGACAACCAGAGCCATAAAAACATTGCTTTCATTTAATACAGTTATGTCTATTTCCTTCCATTAATTTTATTTCATTTGTTATGCTTTGCGTGTATTAAAGGGGCACATATGGTGGCAGCAAGGCTCTTTACGAAGCAACTTTCGATTTTTATGCGGGAGTAAAGACGGATTATCGTAAAATTGCTAACGACAGACATTTGGAATTGGTTATCAACAAGGAAACACCAAACTGGTGGCCACGATTAGCTAAGAGTAATGCTAAGGTTTGCTTGTTTTTGCAAACGGTTCCTGATATTCCTGTAGAAGCACTAACGACATTTTGGTTAACTAAAAAGGACTTCATTTGAGGAGAAAAACAGAATAGCGAAATGAAATTGAAAGAGGAAAGTTACAATGCTCATCATCTTGCTGTTGCATATGTTCAACAAATAAATTCTGTATTGGTCTACAATTTCACTGCACTCTAAAGCACGATAATTTTTGAAATAAAAATTATTAACTAGTAGTATTTTCTCTCCTTTTTTTACAGCTTCCATGGGTAAAGGTTGATTTTAACAAATGGAAGGATGAAGACGAGGATGAAGATGATATGAATGGTGGTGATCTCGATTTCCAAAATTACATGTCGAAGTTAGATGCAGGTGGTGCAGGTGCACCAAATTTGGATGGTTTTGATGATGATGATGATAAAGATGATGATGATGACGGTATGTTTTATTTTTTTCGTCCCTATGCTACTTCATCGCATCGGTTGATAACTTATTTCAGAAAATATCGGTTCTTTTGGTTCTTATACGGCTTTTTTTTTTCAAAAAAATTTTGAGCTCTCTGGGCTAAGTAAAAGCGATAAGAGGTTGATGTACTTTTAACCATATCTGAAGATATGTGAGGGGAGGGGGAAATTTTCAGTTGCAGCCTATAAAAGTTTTAGTTTTTCTAGTGCATTTTACAGATATGCCAGACCTAGAAGATGTTGATGATAAAGAAAGTCTCGATGATGAAGAAGGAAAGGCAGGAGCTGCAGCAGAAGGAAAGAAAGATAAAGTTGAAGCTGGTGATAAGAAAGAAGGGATTGTGGAACATTCATAAATTACTTTTCACCATCCGTTTCATTTTTATTTCTTTCACAATGTCCCAAATAATCTTAATAGCAGACCGACCATATTTCTTTCTCATTTTATGCTAATTTTCTTGATCTATATCATAAGTTCATTGACGATTTTATGTATGCTTGTTCTCCTTCTTTCCCGGCGCAAAAATGAGGTCAATGTTGACTCTTGTTGGTGACGTCATCAGTTGTATTAACGCTCATTGTCGAACAGAGTGTTTTCTGATGAAGAAAAATTGATTTTGGGATAATTTTATCTACATAATGGTTCTTATCACTTAGTAGGAGATGGAGAATAAGACTTCAAAATGGTATTTCCTTCAATTGTTCTGCCATTTCTATTGATCACTTAGTTGCTTAAGTTACTAAAAGTTAAGATGATTTCGTTTTTTCTCAAATTGTGGGTAAACATGCATACAAATATTTCTCGGAAATTTTAACCTGCTTTTGGGCAAAGCATTTGTTTCGACCATCTTAATGAAGTTTAGCGCTTTGAAATGGATTCATTCTTTGTTCTTTTTTAAGCAGTTGTTAGACTTAATTTTCCGTTGTCTTAATGTGAAATATCGGTTTCTTCAATTACTTATTATTGTCGCATTAATGAAGGGAATACTTTTTATTCATTTTCTTCCCTTTTTTAAATTTTTGTTGAAAATAAAATGTTATTTGTTACGAAGTATTATCCATCTTAGTTGGAAGTGAATGCGTGATATAACACATCATAAAGTATTTGTATTAACAAGATTTTCAGGTCATTTTTTACATTTATATGCTAGAAAAGATTAAATTTATTGAAGGCGCCTGTTGACACTTTGAATTTTTCAATTTATTTTTCCCTACCACAATCATTGCCTCATGCTTTTCTGTTCCTTTTCTTCCCATCGAATGTTTTGGACTATTCTCAGATTATTAAGATGGGAAAGAGGAGGTGAGAAGACTGAAGGAAAGTTTTAGAAATGAATGAACAGGAATATACCATTTGTTAAGATAAGGTATTTTAACTGTAACTGGAAGTGATTATCAATACGCGATGTATTAAAGCGTTTCCTTTTTAATCAGGCTGCTCTGGTTAACCTTTCCTCACTGGTTCTCTATTCCCAGACATAAAAAGCTATTTAGGTGAAGCTCTTAATAGTTTCCTATTTCTAAAAATAGGAAAAAGGTTGACACTTGCAAGGAAAAGAGACAAATACTTCCTGATTTTTGTTGAGGTCGGTAAAATATAAAAAATTGCGAAATGGTCTTTCTCTAAGTTTTTTTATTCCTGAGAAAGGAGAAGATAGATAAGAGATTTTACGACCAGCTTGCATTGTTATTTATCCTTATTGGAAGGAAAAAAACTGAAGGATTCCGCTATTAGTATTTAGTGTCATTCATCTTGTATTACGGTGGTAAAATTAGGTTGAGTGGTAGGTATTGGAAGTTCGCGCTTTCGTGATTATTCTATATGTATGATTAGTTGGTAATATAATATTAAACTTATATTTATATATTTATATCATCGTGGCATCTCAAGAAAAATGAAGAAGTTCGGTAGATGAGGTTTTGAAGAAAAATGACAGAAAATGGGATAATTAATTAACGACTAAAGACTAAAGCGACAGTTTTAGATTCAAGATGCTATTATATTATTATCCAGGGTACACTTAAATTAGTTAATGCGGACACCTGCAAAAAAAGATTGGTATTGAAACTATACAAGTAGCTGAGGTATTGTTCTAGCGTTCTTTTGATTATTTGATCATTAGAATACGATTGTTCCATAGTACGAACTATATGAATGTATATGGTGGAACTTTGGGTTAAACTGTATTAAGATGATGGTCATTGATGATCAGTAGGGATTCATTTATTTTTAATCATTTTCTAGGGCGAACAAGGGCAATGAAAGGTTTCTCTACTTTTTGTTCTCTTAACAGTATTTTCTTCATCGTTTTTTCTTTACTCCTCTTTTTGTCCTTCATTTCATTGCTAAAATTGTCAAATTTTATCATAAAGTATCAGTTAATCATTTTGGGGGAATGTTATATGAAACCATTGTAATTAACATTAACAAAATATAGTAATTTATTTGGGATCCAAATTGACAAGGATGGCAATAACAACAAACAAACAAACAAAAAGAATGGAATAGATAGGGTGGGTAATGGAGCACGAAATGATGAAAATAATAAATTCGTTGTATTTTAAAGATTCTGTTATTATTGTTGTTGTTGTTGTTATTGTTGTTGTTGTTGTTGTACTTCTGTTTCAAGTACATTTTATAGGAGCATTTAGAGCATAGCTATTACACCTACAATTTCTACTATGCATACATTTACCCTACATCTCTTCTTTTTCTCCTCTTCTCTTAACGGTGACCCAAGTTTATTTTGCTTTCTCAGTAGCTTCTGTTTCTATCCTGATTCTCTTCACTTTCTTTAGTCGTTAGTTGTATTTCTATCATACTGTAAAGTTTACTCATGAAAGTACTCCCTTTCCGTCTTCCTCCCCTTCTCTCTCATTGAAATATACTTCCTCTTTCTTGTTCTCATCAATTTGTCATGTTTTCTCTTCGTATATCATTTATGATTTTTACAACTTACTACTTTTGTATATGATAACCGATCGGGAAATATAATGTTTCTACTTCCATCAATATCTGACTCTACGTGCACTCTGGCATCACTTGAATAATAGAATTTTAACTATAACTAGTATGATGATGATAATGATGATGAGTGTTGTGTACGTGTCGGTCCGTTCGTGTATGTCTATGTATGTATGTATGGCCATGTGTGTCTGTCTACGTGTGTATACGTTCATGTATATCTATGTGTGTATATGTTGGTGTATATTTGTGTATGGTTTTAATATAATGTTGATTTATTCATTTAATTTTATTTAATTTACTTTGCAAGTGGATTTGATGGAATTTTTTAAATAAAATTTCTCTTAAGTGTGAAATTTTACGATAGATCGAATTGGATTTTCTAGTTAATCAACAAACAATTAATTATTTCAGTGCTTAAGTATTTAATATTTGTTTAGGTGTCAGGTGTAAATTTGAAGTGCCGTGAATGATTTTTGATCATTTTTGCAAGAATTTGGTTAGTTTTATTCCCTGGTTTTTTATTAACTTTTAAAAGAGCGTAAAAGTTTTTATATAGAAGTTTGGAAAAATTAATGATGTAAATTTCAATTAGAATTATCTTTTAATTAGGGCAGCAGGAAGGCTTTTTTATTTGGTTCCTTTTTTATACTTGTTTTTTATGTATGTTATTACTAATCTCACGCTTTTTCCTCATTTCATCATTGAAACGGATGATAAAGTTGCATGAAAAATTCCAAGCAAGCAACCTGATTAGTCATTTTGTCTTTTTCGCATCGGCTAGGTAAATTATAAAAAATGAAGAAATCTCTTTTCTTTCGTTAGGAAAGTTCAGTTATCACTTTTAAGTTGAATGGTATAAGATGGTTGCATACCATAAATTTTTGATAGTTATGTATGACCATTTATATGTGGCATATATTTGTGTACAAATATACGAATATATAGTACTTATGTTGATGGAAAATTTATATGGAGGTATTTTCGTTTCAATCACGTTTCAATTTTGTCAGGCTTCAAATACGCCATTGAAATTGATTTAAATTTAGGTAAGAATGGGTAGTTCTTGGTTCATATAGAATGTCTAGAAATTTATTTGAAAAGCGTTAAATTTTTTTGAACTTCTAGTTGTTGCAAAAAGTCCAAGAGACAGACAAGATGTCCTTTATCGATGTAACGCAAATTGTTTATTAAATTTTTTCCCCATGTTCTTTGATTAAGTTAGAGCAGTTGGAAATTGAGAATTGACTTTTTCATATTTGTGATTTGTTTTAAAAATTAAAATTTTGGCTTTGAACATTTTCCTGTTCATGAGTCAGTCTTGACATATTTGATACCAAGTCATCTCTTACTTATGCAATACCTTTGTAATGTAAGGAATCCTTTCTGTTCTATTTTACAAATACAAACGGTTAAAGTTTCTTCATTGGACGACTTTAAGGTGAATGTATTAAGAAAGATTCCGGTTTAACTTTCCGTATTTTTATTTAGAATTCTCCAAATTTCTTGATTAGTGAACCATTGATGAAAATATGTTGGTACGAAGGAATCGGTAAGATAGAAATGAGATGATGATGATAATAATACAAGAAGAAACACAATAGGTATGTATGCATGGTGTGTGTGAGTGTGGTATTGTTGTTATTGGTCGTATTATAATACAGATGACATTTTTAGAATGAGAAGGAAAAAGTCGTGTTTGCTATAATTATTACTCCAATTGTTTCTGATTTTACCATTTATTGGAGAGTTGGTTCCAAGTTGCTGTTTTGTTTTTGTTTTTCCACTGAATGCTTATTATTATTTTTCATTTGTTTGGAAGAACGCTCCGGATAATATTTTACAGAATACTTTATTTTTTATTAAAATTTTTTGCAAAACATAAATGAAATGTGGCATTGAAATGTATATTATTGTGCAATTGTTGATTTTATAATTGTTGACACTTTAAAAATCAACAGTTACACTACACTATTATACACCATTGAATGTCATATGAGAAAACGGAGTCATATTGCTTAATGTTGGGAGGATGCGTAAATTTCCTTTATGGATGTCAGAGTAAATTGAACTTTTCTGAGATTAAATTCGATTAACGACGTCAAAAAAAAATCGTATCACATGTTCCTTGAACCGTTAGAGATTTCTGATCTTTATTATACGAGATATTTTATAGTGTTAATCCCTGCATTATTATTTTTTGGTGTTTGTGTCTTTCGTTTTGCAATCTTTTCCCTTAATTAAATTTGGAAATTATTAATTATATTTACAGAAACTAATATTTTCTACACGACAACATTTTGTGAATGTCTGCTGAGGTAAATTGCATAAACAGCGGTAACTCGGAAATCCATCATCAGCAACAGAAACCTCTAACGGATGGAATGGAAAACAGTGTTATACTAACGACTGCACCTTCAGCCGTTAAATCAATTGTAACTGAAGAAACAGATTTTTTGCCAGAAACTACTGGTACCAACAGCCATCCAGTTGGAACGCTATGTTCCGCATCTGGTCCTGGTTCCGGAAGTCGAAATCAAAAATCGAAAAAGCGACAAAATCAGAAAACTTTTAGTTTGATGGATATTTTCGATATGCATAAAGGAATTGGAAGTTGGGCTGATGCTGCTGCTGATACTCATACAACCTCCTATTCTCCTTCCATAATACAAGTATAAATCATCACTCTGATATTATCATAACATACTATATCACAGAATTGATTTTTATATGTAATAGTTTGGTCCTCATTTGAAAATGTTATGTATTTTTAGAAAATGTTATATATTTTCAATGATTTTTTATTCTCCATTTCACCTATTACCAATCATTCCAGGAACCTTTGGAGACAAAGCAGGTTTCTAATGTGCTGCAACAAGCAGGTGCATCACAGCAAGGTGATTGGAATCAAAATCAGTATCACAGTACCGACGGAAATATGCGTCCACATTTGCTAGGTTTAGAACGGGCCACACATTCCAGGAATATGGATTTGGTTAATTTGCCGGATAGGCCACCATTTGAAGTTAAAGTGGCCAATATTAATTATAAATCCTCTAACAACGATCTCTTTTATTTCTTTGGAGGTGAAGGCAGTGTAAGTCGTCATCAATTCAAGTTAATATCACGCCAGATTTTAAAAGCAATAAAAAGAACTTCAAATAGTTAATGGATCAAAAAGTCTAATTCTGAGTTGATGGGAAGGGAAATTCTTTCACAATAGGCTAAATTAGTCAAGACATGGTTTGACTGGTGACTGATAACATATTGGTATGAGCATTTCGAGTAGAACACAAAGATGTGTGGTTCAATACCATTATAGGCCGTTTGATGTGTATCCATCGCAAAGTCAGCAAATTTATTACATATGAGTAAATTTGCGTTACAGCAATGGTAAATCATGAGTTCGTCGGGTTTCTGCAACGGTTCGCATATTCCAGTATTTGGCGATGTGCTACTTTGTGAAACCACTGCTTGTAGGACTTATGGTGATCGAGAGTTGGTTGTCTAGCAGATCCTGCTTAATTGCCTTAGTTTGATCACATACAAATATTAATTTGGGTCACAGCATTGCTACTAAAGTTGATACAACTTTTTTAAATTCATCGCAGCAATATCACTTACCGTCACATTGACAGGTTCCCGCAATATTTTCTAGCAATTTACAGGTTGTAAATATTCGTTCCGAGGGTCAAGCTGGCAGACGCGGTATTGCGATTGTTTCGTTATCATCACAAGAAGCGCTTGTGAACGCTTTAAAATTGAATAGCATGGTAAATTTTGTTTTTCGCTTTTTTTGGTTGGAACAAATTGTTAATTGTTCCATTTCTTTTTGAAAATTTTCCAGCAAATTTTATTCCTATACATGATACAAACTGTATAAGTACTTATGTTCATTACCTCCTTTTTTCATTACTTTTTTTCGGTTCGTTCAATGGGATACAAAACTTTTCCTAACTGATTCTAATTCCAGGAACTGCAAGGTCGTTCGCTGAGGGTATCACTTCGAGATCATCAGTCTCGTCCAGCTTTTGGTGGCGGTAGAATATCTGTTCAAGATCATCAACTTCGACCACATTTTGATAGTGATAATGTAGGACCTAATAATGCTTATGGACACTATAGGAATAATGGTAGCTATCATGAAGAAGGCTACAGTACTTTGCCTCATCCCCGCCGAGGACCTCCACCGATATCGTATCATGCCTATAATACAGATGGCCGCGCTAACCGATTACATCTGCAACATTGCTCCTCATATCGTGGTCGAGGTTTTCTTTTCTTGAAAATTAACAGTCCAAATAATTTGTGGTTAAAATTTATAGAATTAAATTGTTTTTATGGATATACGCGGTCTTTTTTTCACCACAAAATACTAATTTTCCTATAGATGATCAGTATTTGCTTTAGATAATCGAAGGTACGACTATGACAGCCGTCTATTCCGTCACCAAAAGTCTGGAAATAACCAATTTTCTCCTCGTTTTACGGTTCGTTTATAATATTTTTGGGAGGTTTTTCATCGAGTGTTCAAATTCTCCTAATTAAAATTTGGTAATTTTAGAATCGTAGTTCTAATTCATATGGTGTTTCTCCCAGACCGTCACCATCTGTTGAAAATCATTTATTTAATCATGGTGTGGAAATGGAACATGATGTCGATAAAAGGTATTGTATTATTTAAAATCTATGATAACATCTTTTAACACCGTAGGAAGTCTTGTGAAGGTGTAGTTGATCAGTGAAATGACAACGGTAAAAGATCAATAAACTGATTAAAAGTAATCGTTTCAGGGGTCCTGGACGTATTCGAACGGAAAGCGTGCGAAGTAGTACTACAGATGGTACCGAGAAGCATGAGAGGCGTAAACTACAACTGCAACCTCGGACTAAGCCTTTCAATAACACTATAGAAGATTTGCCTGCCAGGCCAACTAGTATTTTTGGTCTTGCAAAACCCGTAGATACTTATGAAAAAGAAAAGCAGGTAGACAGTTTATCAGCTTCTAGTAATTAAATTCCAGAAACTGAAAACTATGAGGGAATTCGAATTTTGATGAGAGGAATTAAAAGTTCGAATTATGATTTTAAATTTTTGTTTCAACAAACTTCTGTTCATATTCTTTCAGGTAGAAGAACGACTGCGATTAGAAAACGAAGCATTCAAAGCAGCCGAACAGCGATCAAGAAAGGTCGGCGACATAAAAACCCATGTCTTATCTTCATTATTTTTAATTAGTTTGTTCTATAGTTAGAAAAACGTTGCTGTAAAATATTTCAGCCTTACATTAGTGAGAAATATTAAGTTTGTGTTTTTCAGAGCAGCGAGCGCGCTATTTCCATTCCCGCATCTCCCTTACTGGTCCATGGAGAGGTTTCCGTGGTAATTGAATCTCCGTTACATGATGATTGTCGTGAAAATTGTCCACCACCAGCCCAAGAAGCTGTTCCAGAAGAAAACTGTAAAATAGCGGAAGGTGTAGAAAAACTTCGGACAACTTCAATTATCCCTGTATTGGTCACAAATGAAGAGCGCGCAATGGAAAAAGCAGAAACACCTTCTGCGACTATATTAGCATCAACTCCACAACTTCCACCTCCACGTGAATCATCCATTCCAACAAACGCAAGTCGTTTTAATTTTTCGCCAAATTTATCTTGCTGTTTTAATTTTACATTCATATTGCGGATTTCGAATACTTAAGCAGTTGTATCTCCGGATGTAAAAAGAAAGAGGGTAAAGGGATGATGATAGTCTTCAAAATCTCTGAGAAATCCTCAGTTCTAGATGGGAAGTTACGATTGTTTTAATGTTTGCTCACTCTCGTGATATTGCTAACACATATTTAAAGATATTAATCGTGGGAATTCTGATTATACTTATATTTTCGGACCGTAATTTAAGTTTTGGAGATTTTTTCAAATTGAAATCTAATTTTATGTCTTTTAGTGTCCCGAAATGTCCGAGACGCGTGCATCTACAACATTACCGCGGACACGAAACACTTATAATAGAACATTTATTCGCTCTCGTGATTCTGTCCGTACACAGTTTCCATCAAACAAAGTACATAATATTCCAGGTTAAATTTTTACTATATATTATGGAGAGTTCTCATATTATTTTTCCTCGTCGTTTACCCTACGACAGTATGGTGGGAAATTGGACTTTTCTAGAATAAAAAAAAAATTTTAGTCTCTCTAGCTGTTCTAGGAACTATTAATTGAAATTAGAAAGTGTTACGATACGATATAATAAGTGGGCCAATCGAAATTCAATTTCAACTAAATGATGCCTTTTTAGTGCGTCGAGGAAAAAGTGGCCCACGTCGCGGTGGTGCGAGTAGCGGAGGTTTAGGATCGGACAAAGATAAGCATTTTGTAGCCAGCAGAGAGAAAGTTGATGGGAATAATGGTGGTCCAAGTGTAGAGCCCATTGTATCTAATGGACCGAAGCAACTTGAAAATGGACCGAAACCGGAGCAACAATCAATATCAAAGGATGAAAAGCGCGAATCTGTAACGGCATCAAGTACGATGGCGACGACAGCTAAACAACCGTGGCAGCAACACTCCGATCAACAATATACTAAAAGAGAGAAGAAAAAACAGGTCTCCTCCAGATTTGTATATATCAGCAAAAAATTCTGGAGTGAACGGAATTTATTGAATCCTTAGGTACACACACTCACGCTTTCTATAGTTGCAAGCTTTTTTTATTTTTTCTTAAAAAAGGTTAAAATCATGGATGTTTTTCCATTTGGTAAACTGGAAACATTCGAAACACCATTATCGTGAATTGGACAATTTAGATGAGTCATAGATTAATTAATCGTATTAATTTTTTGAGAATCACCAGCAATTATAGTATTATCAATAAAATGATTGTTACAGATAACAGTAACGAGAGAAATACCAAAGTGTATTATTGAACCGAAGCCGTTTACATTTTCATCAGAGAACAAGTATGCAGCACTTCTGGAAGCAGATGATTAAAATTTCGGGGTGGCATTCTTTAATTCATTAAGAATATTTAATTTTATTTGTGCTTAGAATTGGTAAAAACCCGATGAAATTGAAAAATGGAAAAAGGATTTACTCCCTAAGTTTTTCGTGGAAATTTTGAGATTTGGGAATTAGGCAAAATAAACTGTCGGTAATCAATAAGCTTAGTAAAATACCTTCAACGCTATTTTATAGATTTACCTAGTGGTTTTCTCTCTGTACATTTGTTTGTATCATGTTAATCTTGTTTGTATATCGAAGTGCTATGCTCGTTTGTGTCTGTTTTTTGGTTTCAAATATTTTGAAAAAAAGCGAAATAATTCAAAGTTGGTGGAAGTTGTCCTCAGGATTGTTTCGGAATATTGCACAATTTCAAGATAACTTGTTCTAGGATGGTAATGACTCAAATCAAAGAATCGCATCTTTCTCTGTTAATGTTCTACCACTTGTTCATGAGGTTCCACAAAATTCTTATCGTCATTCTAAAGTATCTCACAGGTGTAAAAAGTTATGAAACCGTTGTTTAATGATGAGTGGGTGGGACATATATTTATCAGGCCTATCTGGTTAATCCTTTTTTCATCCATGTTTGGTTTTGATATTCGGATCATTTGTTTTATTAGCTTAATTTGATTTTTCCATGAAGAAATTTGTAAATTTTTGTATTGTTTGTGTTGCAATTTTTCCTGTGATTCATTCGGACAAAAAAATACTTCCACATCCCACATCTGTTTCTTCTGCATATATAGGTCTCAATCTTTTTTTTTCGAGGCCGATAGATATATATGTTCTGAATGTGTTTGTGAATATATTCTTTTATAGATACTATTTTCATGTAGATCTCTTTCAATTTAAATCGGAATATTACTTTCTCAAAACGGAAATATATTACTTTTATAATGGAGAGGATGGAATATTGCTTTTTTTGCTGATAATTAGAAGTATTGGCGAGATAAACATAATGACTTCATTGAAATTAATGAATGTATGTATTGGATTTTATAGACAAGGCAATTTTATGGACAGGTAATTTTTTTGTGGAAAGCTGTCTCATAAAAGTAGAACAGTCATTTATTTCCTTTTAGATTTAATTTCAGTTCCTTTTTTTTTCCCTCTACTTTCACTGTTTTTACTTTGACTTATCATAGTTTTGATCAATGAATTTGCATTTTCTTAAAAAGAAATCTTTTATTTACATGAAGTGATTGATTATATTGTCGTTTTCAATTTCATTATGACTATTATCATTATTATTATTATTATTCTTATTATTGATAAATTTACAGCTAACAACTTGCTGTATGAATTTGATCAGCAATAAAGCAATAGGGATGAGGAAACCATTATATGTCGAACTTGTCAACATTAATTTTCGCTTAAATAGGAATGAAAAAAACGAAAGCGTAATGTGCATTTGTTGTTGAAGCATTTCATTTGATAATCATTATTGTTTTTCAATGGGAAAATTGTTCGAATTAATTTTCATCAGGTTGTCAATATTTGTTATACCTACAAAATCTTCCAATTTCACTAGAATTTCAAGAAAAATGCCAAAAATTCAATCGAAGTAGTAACATGCTAGCTACTTAACAGGAAGAAATATTTAACTTTACATTTAGATTGGAAACGCTTATTGGAATAAGAAGTTTGGAATTGTTGAAATATCGTTATGAAAAGTGAAATAGGAAATGTAATAAATAGCCTTAGCAGTAATTTTCGTAATTTGCACTTACCGTTGAGTAACGTTAGATCATTTTCAATACGTTTAACCAATTGTTCACGTCGAACATAATTATTAATATTTGCATGCATCGTTCTCTTATGTTCATCAAGCTGTAATATAATATGTAAAATATCTTCTCTTTCTTTTTGTACAATGAAGTAAATCTTATAATATTAAAATTGTTTGCAAACAAATTGTCCGATTTTGAAATAATTTCATAATGCAATCTTTGCTGAGGAAGTCAAATTGCATGATGAACTGTTATTCATTATTGATTTAATAAAGTATGAGTATAGCAATAAAGCCAATATCCTCTCTCAAATAATTTTTGAATTACAAAAAGTCTACTAAATTCATCTAAAGAGAAGGCTATATATAAGTTCTGTTAGTCTCACTGATTACACCTTATATATATTTTTTCTAATTCCTATTGTAATAATTGCATTCCGATTAACAAATCTAGCAGTTGGTAAATAGAAATTTATTCCTTTTTAAATTATTTAATCAATAATAATGAATTTTTAGATAGTATAATTCAATTCTTCAACTATTTGATATTGAAATCTAACCTTATTTTTAATAATTGAATGATCAATTCTACGAGGTACAGTACCACCTGACATACGTTCTGCTATAACTTCAATGTATCGTACTCGTTTTGCTAGTGGTATCCATTTCCAGGTGCAGAGTATTCGATAAATTTGTTTCTCACGAGTAATTCGTCGGAACTGGAAATAATTGTTTTGATACGAAAACAATGAGTTTAGATACGGAAACAATGATTCAGCCCGGATTTCGATCTGGACATTAAACAAAGTAATATCTCAAATTTTTTTAGTTCAGTTACTTCTATTCCCGTACTGCTAAAATTCCTTAAACTAACCAATTCAAAAAATAAAATATTGAAATGAAAATAGAGGGACTCCCTGACAAATTGTTGAATAATTGTAGCAGCATGATTTTTCAATTTTTCATGATGTTTTTGAAGCATTGAATCCATTCCTGACTTTGGTATTTCATTTGGTTTCAGGCGCTGTTGTCGCAAATAAGCACTAACGCTTGAAGCATCCATTCGTGCTATCGTTTCATACTTCATCATTTCATACGCTTTGGTCTGTCTAACTTCGTCCAATTTACGCAATATTTCCCTACTTGATTTTAACAATTCATCGCTTTTCTTTTCAGATTTACTGTAATTTTAAATTTGAATGATTCAAATTTCAATAATTCCTTCCCATCTTTTTTTGAGTTTTGAAATCGTAATTCAAAAGTAGATTTGTAAACTATTCCTTTGTTTAATCTCGACGTACTTTTTTCTGGGATTGCTGGGATTTGAAATTAAATAACGTATTTGAAATTAAATAACGAATATTAATAATTTATACATTCTTAAATCTACAAATTCTAATTTGGAACAATATTACTGACTGGCTCGAAATCCTGGAATTGTTGTATGAATTTCCGTCCAATTGTGTTTCATTGACTGAGTTGTTGACTTCGGCCAGTTCAGATTGTTGATACTTGCAGTACATATAGATGGACCTATGTTTAGCGATTTATCGGATTTCCTTGAACTTAATCTGTGTATTAGCTAGCTTAAAGATTCTTCCTTTAGGTATAGGTGATAAAATCGTATGGCTAAAGGGAGAAAACAACAATTTTAATAAGCTTGTTTTTGAATTAAAATTTTGCTAAGTATAATAATTAATCACTGGAATGAAAATGAACAGAAACGATAACAGTTTATTTAAAGATAAATCGTAGTTGCCTAGCAACAAAATATGCTACTGCTAGAATCATGTGTTAGTCTATTTTACATATTGCATAAATTGAATCTTTTTGATGTGATCGATTTTATTCTCCAAGTTCAGATGTGACAGATCGACATAAATTATATTCAACAGTCGCACATTGTGGAGTGGTATACATCTCTTAGCAATCATTTTTTACGAAACTATGGAACAAACTGATCGAAGCAATAATCAATTTCTAAGGAAGTTCGTTATATTCGTTTTTTCTTTCCAACACTATCATGTATTGTGTCGTAACCGATTACGACTTAATGATATCATTGAATGACAAAATTAAAGGACAGATAGAGGTGCTGAGTTAACATTGCTACAAAGTTATCACTTAATATCGGATTAAAAATGGATGACTTATTTTTGTAAAATGCAATGGTTTTAAGGTAAAGAGAGAATTGTATGATTTATCAAATTTCAGTTAAAATTTTTGAGGATTCAGAAAGGACTTAGTTGCAGGAAAATGAAAAACATTGAATTGAATGCGCATAGTCACAGTCCAGCGGTTGTCATCAAATATGAACTTGAATCAGCGGCGCATGATTTGGGAGGTGCTTCACTTGCGTCACCATTGAAACACTGCAAAAAAATGTCCGTTAATGCAATTTTTGTTTAATTAACTGTTTCATTTTAGCAGTTGCGAATTTTTTGAGTTCTTCTGTTAACCTGTCACCTTATAAAACGACCTTATAAAATTTTGAATAATAATTTTGTTTATAGAATTCAACTGAAACACCTGAATGAACGAGTGGATACGTCGGCTCTTGCTCGACATATTCTTCTAGTTTGCCCAATAATACCGGAATGCAAAATTAATGAGTTGGAACAAATACTTCATTACTTACAAAAACGACACAGTTCAGGCAGTGAAAGTAGTTTTTGCAATTTTTATGGAAATTTTCTTTGTCACCTCCTCGACTCTGCTGTAAATGATTAATAATCGACAAATAAAATCTGATAGTTAATAGTTTAAGGTGATGTAAATTTATCGGCAGAAGGTCTGGGTGTTGCATCGTCATCACGAGCAAGCATGAGTAATATAGAGGTAATTCTTCCGACGTTTAACCAGAAAATCGTAAACTTACAGCTTACATTTTTTTGAAGCATCATCACTTTATGGGAGTGTATGCAAATTCTCAAGTGGAAAACAAACAGGAATTGAAATAAATAAGGCATTAGCAAAATGCTCTCCTAACTGAAGTTAGGTAAAAGGCAATGCTTACTTTGTGAAAAAGAGTGAATTCAGTCAATGCATATCCATTATTTCAAGCAAATTTTAGGTAGATCGAAAATATTGATTTTAAAATATGTTCACATGACATACTTTCTTTTCAACCATTATCAGCTCTCTCTTATTTAATTACTTAATTCGGTTAATATAGTTTTGTTTTCATGAATAATCTCGTATCCATACGCTTCCATCATTATAAGCACAGATTTCATCTATTGCAGATCAACCCTCAAAATGATCAATGATTTTCAGGACTACATTGAAATGCTTTATGATGAAATGTCGGCGAAAACAAAAGCAACAGCTTTATTCCTGGAGCTCAGTCAAAATCACAAAAATTTGCTGCAACTCATTAAGAACGGTAATATGATGTAAATTCTTCCGTTTTTTTATTTGCATATATCTTTCATAATTTCATGTGTATAATTTAGCGTATTTTAACGTATTTGATATATTTTATTTCAGAAGTATTGATGGGTGCACTCGTACGTGTATTACGAGATGATTGGAAGAAAAGTTTCGAGCTTGCCACTAATATCATTACAATGCTTTATAATTTTTCCACTTATACCAACTTTCATCAAATTCTCGCTCATCATAAAGTTTGCTTTATTGATTTTTGTATATTCAGAGACATTCATAAAAGATTTAAAAAAATTAAATCTCATAAAAGATTTAATTTTTTTTCTTCAAGAGATGTGAAACATATATTTTAAACAAAGCTGCAAAAGATCGACAATGATAATTTTGTTGTACTTTTGCAATTCTAGATTGGTTCTCTGTCTATGCAAATTGTTGATTATGGATTGAAGCGTTGGGAAACATGGAAAGAAGAAGCACGTCACAATGATGAATGTACCACACGTCGTCTCAATCTTGCAATTCGTAAACAGCAACAATTAAATGCTGGTTATTTTTCGAATTTTCTTAGAAGGATCATAAAAAGTTATTGTAGGAAAGAAGAAGGTCTTTACCTCGTTAAAAGATAAACATTTAAAATTGTAAGAAGATTACGAAATTATTTTGCAGCTTGTTTAAATTTGTTGCTGAATTTGGCTGAAGATATTAAAGTTGAGATGAAAATGGTGAACCGGCGGATAGTTTCGCTGTTGTCGAAATGTATACAGGACCATGACGTCGTTTTACCGTTGCTTTTGTGTGCCACTAATTTTTTGCTTAAATTAAGCATTTATGATGAAAATAAGGAAGCCATGGTATGTATTTACGAAGTTAGGGATACGTTTAAGAATAAATGGTTTTCAGTCTAAATTCCAGTCATGGTCTTTTTCTCTTTTTTCATATTTTTGGTTTTCTTAGAATCCTTTTTTAAATTTTTTTTAATGAAATTTGCAGATAAGCGGTCGTGTTGTAGAAAGTATATCCTCGTTATTTCCAATAAAGAACGGAAATCTGCGGCACAGTGCTATTCAATTATTATTCAATTTGTCATTTATACCATCTCTTCGCGATCAAATGGTTTCTGTTGGCTTCATTTCTCACATAGCACCGCTAATTGATGGTAATTTTCGTTAAAATAAATGAATTATCAAGCAGGAGCTTCTATTTCGGATTGCACTGAATTGTAGTGTTTAAGATGTAAGCATTGGAAATATATGTTGAGCCTAGTAAATTGGCATTCAATGAATTAAAGAAAATAAGTGAAGCAGCTAACGAAATAATTACTTTATGTCGACGAATAAAGGAATGAATTATTGGATACTTCTAAATTTCATTTGTTTAATCAGATGATTTTGTTTTTTTCCGGAGACGAAAGCGCCTTGAAACTTCTTTATCAATTAAGCATCAATGATGATGCCAAAGCAATGATTACGTATACCGACGCTTTACAAAATGTGAGTCACATTAGCTAATTTTATAATATTAAAAATATTTTAGTAATTGAATAGTTAGGTGAAATAGTAAACATCCATTACGATAAAATTGTTGAAGGAAAGAAAGTTTGATATTGATAGACTTGTCCAAGTCGAAATCGTAAGAAGAATGATGCTAAGTAGACTGAATATCTTTTACTTGAGCACTTAGATTTCCAAGATATTAAATCCAGAGCAGTATAAAAAAAAGTGAAATTAGTAACTGTGTGCATGTTCAATCTGATTTATCAAACTCTCTATTTCCAGTAATTAGAGTTGATGTGTGTTATCAATTTCTTTCTGTATTTCAGCTAATGCGCATATTACTAACTAATAATAGTTCGGATATAGTGAAAGCAATTTTAATCAATATAGCATTGGAGAAGCGTAATGCTCAATTACTTTGTGGTACCGATGGTGAAGGACTTGATTTGTTAATCGAAGCGGCTTTAAATCAAAAAGATCAATTATTACTGAAAATAGTGCGAAATATCGCAATTCATAGTGGTCCCACACAAGCAGTGTTTTCGGTAATTAAAAATTCGCTGGAATCGAAGTACTTATTGATTTATTTAAGCGGTATGCGAAGGGAACATTGTTGTGTTCAAGAGAGAAATTGAATTTTCAGGAAGTTGGAATTTTCCAGCCTTTTTAACTTTTTCTTAGTAAGCAAAGTGTTTTTATCTTTTTTTCTAGTAATCGCAAAAGTGCTGCTGAAATAAAGTCCAAAAAAAATAGCTCTTTCTATCGCTTAAATAATCATTTACAGAAATGGGCTATTCCTTTGCTCAAAATTGTGTTGGACAAGACGGATAAGAAAGAACTTGATTTATTTGGCTTGGAATGTTTGGGTATTATCAATCAATTGACTGCCGTTGACTGGGCATCGTTAGCTGAACAAGTTTCACTTATTCCATGGATTGAGGATAATCTGAAGGGACAGACTCAATCACATGCGGATCAGCTGTTGCAGGTTAGATGGATGTTTGCGAATAGAAATTTCCAGCATAAAAAAGAGAAGAGAAATATATGGTTGATTAAAAATGGAAGGAAGGGAGGATTTTGAATCCATTAATATTCTTATTCTAGGTGGTTATTCTTTGCGGAACAATGGCTCGACAATTAAATGCGGCTCGTTTGATAGTACCACTTACAGATCAACTAGTCGAATTGTTGACAGGTACTAATCTTCTCATCAAAACAAATAATTATTGCTTGAAGAAGTTCACTCTTCAGTGAGAACAATTACACATAATATTTGAAAAAATCATTACAATTTTAAGAGAATCGTTTTTAACGTGAATTTTTTTCGCGTAATACCCTTTTCAACAGAGTTTTTCAATTTTAGTTCAACAGGAAGATGATGAAATGGTTATACAAGTAGTATACGTCTTTTATGCTATAATAACACATGAAGAACTCAGCGAAAGTGTTATTGGTGGAAGTGCACGCGTTGTTCCTTATCTGATCGATTTAATGCATGACAAAAATTTACCTATTCGTGCAGTATGTGATCGTGCGCTTTCCATTATTGCTGTAAGTTCTCGTATGTTAAATAATTGAAATAAATAATGAAAGCAGTTTTGTTGAAAGAGATATTTAAATGATGAAAAATAATTTGACAAGTGTGTAAAATAAATATATCGAATATTGTAACTCTAGTTTTATTGCTGCATGGTACTTTTCAGGAACGTAGTGAAGAATGGGCTCGAAAAATGGATGTTGAGCGCTTTTGTTGGCATAATTTACAATGGCTAGAAATGGTTGCTGATAGCAATAACGTGACGTCGAGTGATTCAGTGATTTCTGGTTCACCGGATATTTACAACGAAGTATTTGGTGCCGAAGACATTCTTGGCGACCCATCACCGGATATTTCCCTTACACATGCAAATAACGACTTTTAAAATTTTCAGAACATCTCACAAACCATTTAGAGAGTTTTCTGGAACCTTCTATAAGTTTTCAAAAATTATATTTTACTTTAAAGCTACTGCAGGTGTATAAACGTATCATTATTGTTATTAATCAGGAATTTTTACCAGTAGATCTCATTTTGGCGTTCCACTAGTCATAAATATCGTCATTACCTCACGTATCATATTTTCTATATTTGTATTTATAGTTTAGTATAATTCCATGTTTTTGGAGATTTAGAAATGGTTAAAAAAAGAGGCGAATCAAAATTGAAGATATTGTTCAACTTTCATTCTCGAAAAATTCATTCCATTCTTCTTTCATTCCTTACTCTTGTTCGTTTCGTTTAGTATTCATAATTGATTGCAGAATGCATAAAAACATGATTCCATACAAATTTGGTTGCAATATTGAGATTAGCAGTAAAATTGCCTGCCAAATATCACCGTAAATGGATTCGATTCGAAAATAAGTGAAAACAAAAAAGTCCAAAAATTATTTACCAATGATCAGTGATCATTGCGCTTCTCTTGGACATTTGACATTTTTTTCAGAAGAAAAAGAATAATGGAAATTTTTCAAGATTCTGAAAAAATATTAAGTTTGAAGATATTTAGTGGTTATCGGGAAACATTGAAGTTGGGTACATGTACTAAGAATGAATTAGCAAAAATTCATAGACTTACATATTTTTCATGGCATTATACACAATGAATACCCATAAATTAGGAAAACAAAATTATCCGGCTATAAATTATTGGATTCTTAAATGTTTAAAGTTTTGAATCAAGGAGATCAGAAATCATTGCTTTATGCCGAAAATTGTTAGAATTATAAGTTCGAAAGAAATTTTGCTGTAGTCAGTACTTATAATTTTTGTCATAATTCAGTTGAAATCACTTTGTTTAATTAAGTTTGATTTGATAGAAACATGGTAGAGCTAAATTTTCTGACATTTATTATTCCGTATCTTAGTGTAAATAAGAACGATATAAATAAGTACGTTGCATTTCATAATGTATATTTATTAAATATTATAAATTAATATAATATCACAGCATTTCTAGTTATGGTAGCATTTGTGATAGCATGGTCTAATTCAAACGTGCGACAAGCTTGTATTGGAGCTGCCATCTGTAGCCTATGTATATTATTCCTTATTGGTAGCGTTTCAATTACCAGATCATTGATACTAACAGCAGCTGCATGGCTTTCAGTATTTTCGTTCTTCTCATTGATATCAACGGTTATCTCTTTATCCGTAACACAGAAGCCATCGGCTAATTATACATATGGTTTTGCTCGAGCACCTGTTCTTGCCGTCTTTGCTACAACTGTTAGTGCTTATTTTCTTTACCTAACTTAAATCTTATTATAATAATAGGAAAACCATTGGTAGAGTTGTTTAAATTTCAATTCGAATTTCATCAATTATGTTTTGATATATATAAAACTTTTTCTCTGGAAGAATTATGTGTAGAAAGTCTTTTTATATTTGATGTAAATTTTCGTAAATAGCAATATTAATAATGCAGTGGTTGTAAAAAGAACTTGACAGATGGTACAATTACAAATGTCAGCAAATGTAGAAAATATGAATTTTTTAATTTCAAGATTTGAAGTTGTTAATTTTTTTGTCTCTTGAAGTGTCGTTATCTTCAGGTACTTACAACTTTAGCAGCAATATTTTTGATTAAAGAAAGTATGGAGCATATCCTGGAGAATGATCATCATCTTCATCCAAATGGCTTATATATTTTTGGTGCTATTGCAGCATCTGTTTCATTAGAAATTGCTGCTTACGGTGTCAAAAATCAACCAATACAACATGTACTTACTGCATCCAGTAGTTCTTCGCTACAAGTAAGCTTCTGAAATTTCTGCATAGCATTTAGAGGATTTTTTCGACAAAAACAGAAAAATCTCTTAATTTTTAAAAATCAGAAATTCAAATTTTGGTCACTACAGTTTTCCTGCTTCTCTTAATGGCTTAGAAACAATCTCTTAGATGTTTGAAAATCTTCAGAAGAGAAAGGAAGAGGTAGTAAAGGGAGAAAAAGAAAATAGATGTAATGGTTATTCCTGTGAAAGGTAAAGATTCGGAGATATAGGTTCAGAATCAACTGAACTTTTTCCTTTTAACAAAACCCAACATAATATTATTATTTTCAGGAACACTTTGCTGATATTTCCCATGCAATCTGTTACATTTTGCCTGGTCTTAGTGTGCTTTTATTGCCTAGACTGAATGCTTTATCACTTTTAGCTCTTTTAACAACTATCGCGTGTGTGATTACACATTGGTAAGAAATTTCCATATTTCATGTAATTTCACAAATTGTTTTGATAGTTAAAAGTGAATGATTTCCGCATCTTTTCTTCTGAATCTTTTTTCTGATCTCGTCTACCGCTGATTTCCTTTCTTTTCCCCAATTTCCTTTCTTTCCCTCTTTTTCCCAATTCAAAACTTTCGGTTTGTAACGAGACATAGGATTACGCATCTGAGTTTGCTTTAAACTGTATCATTCTTTTTTTTTTGAAGGTTTGTGTCGAATTTGTGGTGGATTGATGCGTTTGCAACATTAATACTTTCAATTTGCATTTTTCTTACAATGTGGCCGCTGTCAAAATATACTGGTCGAATCTTATTGCAAACCACTCCGCCGCATATTCATAACCAGTTAGATAGGTAACTGTATGATTTTCAGAAAGTAATAGTGTAACAATGTGCTAATGTGATTTTCAGAATTTTAGATCTATGCATTTCATACAATAGTCGTATATAGACACTGCACTAAAAATCAAGTTTCCATTAGTAAAGCTTTATTTCAATGTAAAATTCGAACTGTCACGGTGTCCCTGTTCGGAAAAACCAGGAAACTTATGCACATCCTTATTCTTAGGAAACACACTAAGCATAACATCATGGGATCGAATAATTTTTAGTTCATAAATGAATAAATTAGTTTAAATTAATAAATTCGTAAATTAATTTATCTGCATAAATTAATTCTTTACCGAAATGTTGATCATGCTTTTCTGGCTATCGAATTTATCTCTGTTTACCAGTTATATTTTTCCATACATATAATTTTCCCAGTCCTTGATTTAGATGCATATCAGAAGCATCGACAATAGATGGAGTTCTAGAATTACGGCTAGCCCATTTTTGGCAGTTAGACTTCACAACAATGGCTGGTACAGTGGATGTTCGTGTACGTCGAGATGCTGATGAACAGCTGGTGCTAGCGTTAGTTACCGAAAAGCTTTCTGCTGTAATCTCCGTATTAACAGTGCAGGTAAAAAGACGTTTTTTTTCATTAATTGAGGCTAATTGTGATTCAATTCAAATTTATATGAGGTGAATTTCAAATTCTTAATCTTTATAAGGGAAACAAACCTATGTTAGTATTATAAGTAGTGATGAGAAAGCTGGAAGAAATAAAAATTCTCGCCAAATTCTTTAAAAAGTATAAACAATATTTTGATGAAAATTTTATGACCTAAAGATTCTATTAAGATTCTATTAAATAGCCATGTGAATCTAAAAATTCTAGAAAAAAGGAATATATGTGGTAGGAATTAAGAAGAAGATCTTTCAGATTGTGAAAGATGTAGTAACAAGTTGGCAAGCAGCATGTAAGACGCATTCAGCACCATACGACCTGTCTCGACCTCCGCAATTTCATTCTTCTAGTTCATTAAATCATTTTGAAGAATCATCTTCCCATTGTCATGAACATAAACATAATAATTCCGACGAAGGTCATGGCCATTCGCATGATGTTCACCATACACTTCATTAATTGATCTAGTGTCTGGTTCCTGAATATTTAAAAATATTTCAAATATATAGCTATAATTTCTTTTCGGTTTTAGCAGCATTATTTATCAGAAATCTGACTAACCCGAAGTTTTTAAATTCGAGAAAACTGATTAGAATTTGGGGAATTACGTCATTTTCAAGCCATATTTTCAATCGATAAGAAAATAATAATAGAATTTTTTATTGGGTTGTCAAAAAATAAATGAATCGTCCGAATTGATTGGAAGTTATAATAATTATAGAGAATAATTAAAATTTTTCGTAAAAAAGAATTAAGGTAATTAAATCAGCGAAAATTGGTATATTATCAATTTATTGCTTGTTTATAGTGAATTTATAAAATTATTTTACATTATAATTTTATAAGAAATTATTTTATCTTTTTTAGTTCCTTCATGTTTTGTTCACATACTTTGTTCAAATTTTTGTGATAAGTTTATAAGAAACAGGTCAAAGGTTAACTCCTTTAATGTTGGTAATTAAAGATTATTTAATTTTATCGTAATTCAATCTCCAAAGATATAACCCGAATATGAATATCTAAGAAAAATTTCATGCATTCAATTTTGATATTTTATATCGTAATATTAACAGTTATTGTTAATAATAAGCAATAAAGCATAATTTTACAAAGGAAAACAAAATCAGACAAGTTTTCAGCTATTCAATAAATATTTGATAATCTTTTATGCCTAAAAACATTTCACTGATAAATTTTTATTAAAAAGCATAAGAGAGAAAAAAAACGAAATAATTCAAATTTTGCTAATTAAACCGAATGATTCGATCCTTTCCAACAATTTCCAGTTCAATGTATAAAATATCAGTACGTTTTGCGCATGGATTAGGCAGAAGAGAATTATTAACTAAGATTTTACGTGTTGATCATATTGGTGAATTAGCTGCTTTGCGTATTTATGATGGACAAAAAGCTATCATATCAGGTAACTTGTTTGATCATCTAATTTTTTCTTTTTTCTAAATGAATAATGTTTTGTTATTACATCTCGTAGGTGATCAATCAATCGATCAAATCATTATCGTTCGTTGCATAAACAATTGTCTATAGATAATGATATCGCACCAAAAAAAATAAAGAAATTAATGATTTATGATAAGAATAGTTTATTGCTTACAATAGATTTTGTTCTGTTTTGGATATATAAAGGAATAAGAAACAATCGTTAAATATTCACTTTTCCATTCACTCTAAAAAAAATTAAAAGAAATTATTCTTAAATTTTTGTTCCATTTTTAGGACGATAATTAAATGAATCAATCAAAAAAATTTTTTTTGAATTTCTTAAATAATTTTTAAAAATCGATTTATTTAAATTAATAGATTAGACGAATTTTTCTGTATGATTTTATAGATCAACATCCGTCCAAACCTATAATTGAAGAAATGCAAGCACAAGAAAAGGAGCATCTTGATGTGATGGAGCGATTATGCGCAAAGCATAATATACAACCAACAATTTTGGCTCCATTCTTGAGTATTGCTGCTTATGCGTTAGGTTCATTTCTCTTCTTTTAAATTAAATTATTTGAAAAGTTAATAAAATGAAAAGCAAATAAAAAATTATTATAGTTTTTAAAGTACTAGTCTGTGCTTGAAATAATCGTTCAAATTAAATACTTTTCGTAGTTTAAATTTAAAATTTCGTAGTATATATTCAATCAATCACATTTTAAACGATCTTTAAAATGAAGCGTTTCTTTTCATAATTTTGAATTCAAAAATTTATAATGTTGACAAAGCTGCTTAAATTTCGTAAAAACATTTGGAAATGTTATCTGATTTCGTTATTTTAAAAATTTGCTGTAATTTATTATTTATTATCTATTATTTATTATTTATTTATTATTCATTATCATTTTATATTAATTACTTTAAATTGTTTATTTGTTATTGTTATTATTAAATTATTATTGCTCTCATATTTTAAGTAATGTAATAGCAAAATTTATTGGAAGTTTTTTTTTTTGAAAAAATAGTAATAATATTCTTTTTTTGAAAAAAAGAATTTTAAATTTCATTTTCTCCCTACTTTCTCTATCTTGTCGAAATCTTCATTCCATCATTTCTTTCTTCATTTTCATTTATTTCTTTCATAAAAAAATGAGAGAGAAAGGAAAAAAGAATACTGCACAATTGGACATCAAATTAATGCATACTAAATGAGCTAAAGATATTAAAATTAGAGTGTGAAGGCAGGCGGTTGTCAGAATTCATTCTAATTTACTCTTACTTATAGCATAGTATCATTTTCTAAAATTGAAAAAAGTGTATAATTTTATGTTTGTAAAAGAAAAAGCACAAAAAAGAAGAGATCATTATTATCAATAAATATCTCATTAAAAAAGAGAGAGAGAAATCATTATTATCAATTAATATGTTATTGCGTATCCGATATATTAAACCTAAATTTCTTTAATTTTTTTTGACACTGATAGAAGATTTAAGAGTAAGATATTTTTAAAAAGAGTAATGAAAGAAAAGTATTGAATGGAATGGTGTGAGTCACCAGCTTCTGAAATTTAATATCATTTTGTTTTAGAACATCACTGTATAGATTTTAAATTTAAAACTAAAGAATCATGGAGGATCATGGCTTTATCCTTTTGTCATATTTAACAAATTTATTCTTTTTTTCTCTCTATCAATAGAATTCTTTCTTGCTCTTTTCGTATTGTTTCAGTGAATTTCAATTTTTCATATTGAATTTTCATTTCTTCTTTTTATTTTTTTTAAAGTTGAAAAAATAAAAGAATTTATTTCGAGGTGTCGGAACAGCTCTTTGCGGGAAAAAAACTGCAATGGCTTGTACAACAGCTGTAGAAGAGCTAATTGCTGAACATTACAATCAACAATTGATGGAATTACTTGATGATGACCCAGTGGATCATGTCGATCTTCTTAAGGTCATTCATTTCTCTTAAATCTTCCTGCTACTATTGCTGTAGTAGTTCAATTGGTTTGAATTGTATATGGATAGGTGAATTCAGATGATGATGTAATTTTTGCATGTCTCAGAATCACTTTGTCCCTTTCCGATATTTGCTGAACAAAATTCAGTTACATCAGTGTTTTTCTTATTGCTATTTGACCACATGAAAAAATTTGAACTTCAATGAAATATAGAGAAAATGAAATTTTAGAATTTATAAATTTAATATGCATATATATATATATATAAGTATATATAATTTTGTAGATTTTGACAAAACTGCGCGACGATGAATTGCATCACTACGATATTGGAGTTGAAAATGATGGATTAAAAGTAATTAATTTCTTCTAATACTATATATATATACATGTATAATATAATATAATATAATATGATATAGTAATGATATAATATAATATAATATAAAATTAGCTCTAATTTGTTTTAAAAACAATGTGATCAGAAAAAGAAAAAAATAGTAGTAATAGTAATACTAGTAGTGATAGTAGTAACAAATCAATTTTTTTAAATTTTTAATATTGAATTTGGAAAAGATTTTTGAAAGTACTTTTTTTTAACAAAAAGAAAAAGAAACGAAGAAAACTTTGGAGCTATGGTTGATTTTTTTGCAAAAGATGAGGAAACGTTTGCAGGCACCACAATATGAGGCATTGAAATGGTTCATTCAGACTGGTTGCAAAGGAGCAATTTGGTTAGCCGAACGAATGTAAATAATTATGCAAGAAATTCGTCTGCTATTTCATGATTATAACAAATTTTTATCAGAAGTCTAAATTAAACGATTAATTAATTAGCATAAATCGGGTTGAAAACTTAAAGATTAATTGATTGATTGCAATTCAAAATGATTGATTAAATCATTGATGAAATTAAAATATTTGATTTGAGATATCATAGAGATGATTGTCAAGAAACTATTGCTTGGTGATATTTGAGATAAAAATTTGGACATCCTTCCATTTTTTCAATAAAATGACAAACTGAATTAACACAATTAGTTGAAGCAAGATACTACATACATGTGCTATTTCCCTTTTCGTACAAGTGAATGGCTTTTTCTTTCCTATTAGGCCTTCATTCTACATCTTTGTTAGGCCTTGTTAGTCTTGAAAAGATTGATTTGTTTATATATAATCAATAATATTATCTTCCTCTATCTTCCATTTACCATTTGACTTTCTTAGCAAATGGCATCATTGGAAAAAATAACATTTGAATTTATACGGAAAACTTTAGCTCCCTTCCGATTAATTACATTTTATTGAGGTAAATAGATTTGCTAAGGAAATTTGTTCGCTTTATATATGTTTCGTTATCAAACTTTGGAAAATAATTAAGCGAAAAACTACAAATCTTATGCGTTAATTTAATAAGAAATCAGCTTATTTCAAACTCCGATAAGCTAATCACTATCACACTGATAATTAATCCTAAATTATCAATATGATCGTGATAATAACTGCTGATTGTAAGATAAAATAAATTTTGGCGACAAATCGTTTCGTTTTGTATTTAATAATTAGTGTTGAGAATTTTTTTGTTCAGTTGAACGAATTAAAAATTTCTCTCCAAATTATTTCACGAATAAATGAAGTATTTTTCAATTATCATTTTTTAGCCTTTTCAAATAATATCATAAATTCATTAATTCTCTTCTTATATCTTTCTTCAATAGCTTTATTCTATCAGTGAAAAGATGAAGAAATTATTTCTAAATTACTTCCTCCTTTCTTTGTTCTTCATTTGCTAAAGTTTAAATAAACAGAATAATAAATGTTTTATTACAGAGACAGTTCATAATTACTGACAGTTTTCAAAAATGCAAGCATTGCATTTGTTGACAGCAACAGTAATTAAATTTTGATTAAAATGCAAATAAAATAAAATGAGTCTTCCATCTTTTGCAAATTATGCAACGTTTGTCGTAAGCCATCTAAAATTGTTTTTTCTCTCAGTTATCGATAAGAAGTTGCTAAGTTTCATAATGGAATATTATAATCATATTATAATATTATAATATAATATTATAATAATATAATATAATATTATAATCCAATAATATAATCTAAAAAAATTCATATAATTTTATGTAATTTTTCTCTTTCTTCCCGGTATATCTCCTTGATAATTTCAAGACAAAAAAGAATCAATTAATGCAGAAGGGAAAACATTTTATGGAAATAGCATAACATTTTGTTACTAAAGGAAAAAACAGTTGACAAAAGAAGAAGAAATAACAATATGAAAAGAAATAATAGGAAGATCTGAAAAAGAGGAATGTATGTATTTATGCAAATGGCGAGTAAATAAAAAGCAAAAAGCAATCGATTGCTTGATTTCTTTTCTTCACCAATTAATTAACATATTAGCAGTTATAGCAATATAGCATAAATTTGTATATGTATGTGGCAGTAAGGATAGATTCTTTTTTTCCCATTGAAAAATTTCATTTTTAATATTCATCTCCTTCTTCTCCAGCATCTTCCATTGAATCAACACCGACCTAAAAGCATTTTTTAAGCATAATCTTCACTCGTATTAAATTATAAACTATTATTTATAGTTATAAAATTGTAATATTAAGATGAAAAAAGAAATTTACAACAATGTGATTTCATTTATATTACCACCATCTTATTAATTATTAAAAATATTATATTGATAGTGATAGAATTAATATGAGTAATAAGAGTAATATAAACATTTGTATAAAATTGATAATAAAGTAATACAATGGTCTTAATTATACAACATATATAAATATTAATGTTAATAAATAATAATAACAATAATGAAATAATAATAAAAAAACAATAAAATAATAATGATAATAAACAATAATAGTAATTAATAATAATAAATAATAAATAAATGGTTGATAATAATAACAAATAAATAATAAATAATAATAACAAGTAATAATATATTAAGAAGAACAAAAATAATTAATGGGGAAAAATGATATTAAATGATTTTAATCTTAATCATATAATATATACAAACATACCTCTTCGTAATCTTTTTCCAAAGCAGCGAGATCTTCACGCGCTTCTGAGAATTCACCTTCTTCCATTCCCTCACCAACGTACCAATGTACAAAAGCTCTTTTAGCATACATTAAATCAAACTTATGATCAAGCCTTGCCCATGCCTCAGCTATTGCTGTCGTGTTCGATAGCATACATACTGCTCGTGGTACCTTAATTATGGTTACAATTGTCATTAATTAGCGCTAATTATTACTATTATTATATTTGTTCATAGGTGTTATAGAATGTACGCGGATATTTATTAACTGCTTCATTTAAACCAAAAAAATAATTATTAAAACAATTACAATTATTATCATTAATTATTATTATTACTTATTGTTACTATTATTAATTATTCATTGTTCATTATTTATTTATTATTTATTACGCATTGTTTATTATTTATTATTAATTATTACTATTATTAATATGTGACTTTATAAGCATTGGAATGTACTTATATATTTAACATAAATTTTAAAATGTTTTATAGAAGAAGTAAGAATTTGGAGAAGAAATATGTATATCATCATTACCTTAGCAAGATCACCGCCAGGAACAACAGTTGGTGGCTGATAATTAATCCCAACTTTAAAACCTGTCGGACACCAATCAACAAATTGTATGCTACGTTTCGTTTTAATTGTTGCTATTGCTGCATTTACATCTTTTGGTACAACATCACCGCGGAATAACAAACATACCGCCATATATTTGCCATGTCGTGGATCGCACTATAACTATGAATCAATTTAGATGATTTATTATCACTTGCTGAATTGATTATCAGTTACTGAGTTATATCAATTTGAAACTTAAATTTAATATTAATAAATCTAATACTAATAAAAATTCAATATTTTTCGTAGAATTTTTAATCTGAAGTTTAGAAAAAAAGGGAAGGAAGAGCTTAAAAAGTTTTAGTATAGCTTTTACCTTAACCATTTGATTGTGTGGTTCAAAGCACATGTTGGTAATTTCTGATACTGATAATTGTTCATGATAAGCTTTTTCAGCAGAAATAACTGGCGCAAATGTTGCCAACGGAAAATGAATCCGTGGATATGGTACAAGATTGGTCTGAGTAATAATATATCAGTCACCTTTTTTTAAATAAATTATTTCAAAAAAAAACCAAAGTATTTTAATTAAAAAATAAACAAATTAAACTTGAAGACTTTTTCAAGAAGGAAAAAAAAAACATTTATGATGTTCTTTTTTCCAACCGTGTAAGGTTTATGCGGAATTGAAAGATGAAAAACCTGAAATTCGGTAAGGTCAACATTCAAAGCACCATCGAAACGTAGAGATGCGGTAATTGATGAGACAATTTGTCCAATTAAACGATTCAAATTTGTATATGATGGACGTTCGATATCAAGATTTCTGTAAAAATTTCAAAAATTATGTACCAATACATCAATTAAATCAAATCTAAATTATGTTCTATTTACTATCTGATGAAAAGTTATATCTTAAAATAAAATTTACCAATGGTAAATATTGGGTACTCTCTTATAAATAGTAACTTTTTAAAAGTTTTTTTATTAAATTAATTTACCTGCGGCAAATATCATAAATGGCCTCATTATCAACCATGAATGAGCAATCGGAATGTTCCAAGGTCGTATGTGTTGTAAGGATTGAATTGTATGGTTCAACAACTGCTGTTGAAACCTACAACAATTAACAAATTAGTCAATAATGGAATGAATAAGTACGATTATATATTTTTTTAAATTAAAGATGTGAAAATTCTCGAATTCAAAACGAAAAGCCTGAAATTTAACAGCAAAATTTAGATAAATAAACTTATCAAAAAAATTTTTTCATTTCTTCTTATTTCTAAGCTAATAAAATGATTGTAAGCATACCTGTGGTGCAGGATAAACACTAAATTCCAATTTAGCTTTTTTACCATAATCAACTGACAAACGTTCCATAAGTAATGAAGTAAAACCGGAACCAGTACCACCACCAAATGAATGGAAAACCAGAAAGCCTGAATGTATATGAAAATGAATCTAAAATAAAGAAACTATTTCGTTATTTTTTTAAGAGAAAATTGAAACAACAACAAAAAGAAAAACAATTTGATTTAAATATTTAAATTGAATTTCAAAATATTGAAATAATAAATGGAAAAAAGAAAACAACTTCTAAACCTTGTAATCCAGTACAATTTTCGGATAAACGTCGAATTCGATCCAATGTAAGATCAATAATCTCTTTACCAATTGTATAATGTCCACGAGCATAATTATTTGCTGCATCCTCTTTGCCAGTAATTAGTTGTTCCGGATGAAATAATGAACGATAAGTTCCGGTTCGAATTTCATCTAGGAATTGATTAATAAATAAAATTAATTCAAAATTTTGAAGTATGTCATTTAATTAGAACATTATTCAACCCTCATATAAACCTATACATACATACATACATACATCATTCATAGGAATACAACAGTGCCAAATTTTCCCAGCATTAATAATTTCATCTGAACAGGTGTTGCTTTGCATATATGAAATTAACTAAGGTAGCTAATTTGATTTTACAAACTTCTTTCAGTAGCAAAATTTTTTCTAAAAAAATAAAATTTCGATAAGAGCTAGAAAAAAAAAGAAAATTGAATTTTAATGCTGCCAGCCTATTTAATCCTACTTACGTCAATACATTT